ATTAATTAAATTTTAATATTTAAGCATAATATACAAATAAGATGCCTTTTTTAATTATACGAAACTAACGGCGCGCTGCAGAGTTCGAATTACGCATGGAACAATTGTTTGCATGGTCTACAAATATTTGTTCCGGGTCTGGATGTTTGTCCTTGTGCAATTTATGTATGTAAATCGCCTCCACGATAATGAAGGAAACACTAGAAAGTTTGTAAAAGAACTGTGACGTCATTTTATACAGCCTTTTTACGTTCTACAGCCACAAGCCGCCTCCCATTTCTGAGAGTTTTTTGGAGCAGAGAAGAGTCCACCACGATGCCCGTGTTTATGGACTTAACATTTTCTTTAAATTTCTTAGACATGCAGGCTTCCTCACGACGAAAAACGTAAATACCGGGACGAAGAATGTAAGTATCGGAAGTTTTACAACATAATTTACACAAATATTTCTACATTACACGTGTTTACACAAATATTTACTCAACACAGAATAATATAGACCATACAATTGGGTATTTGACACTAACAGTCAATTGAAATACCTTTTAGCAATTAGATTTTATTGTAATGACATTTTAGTTCGTAGAAAATGTGCGCCGGCTTCGTACAAGTGATTTCTGGATCTCTACAACAACGCTACCTACCGGTTCCTACAGTTAAGAGCAATCCAGGTGACCACATAAGTTTCATCAAAATTGGTCGTCGTTTAGAAGAAAGAATTACGAACACACACACACACACACACACACACACACACACACACACTGGAATTTGATATATAAATATCATAATTGTATATTTTTAAATACTGAAAATCTATCTAACTACAATTTCCAATCGACCAAATTAATAGAATCAGGCGTTACTTTGGGGAAATCCATTATAATATTAAAGGTGAGATTACGAAACTTTAAGGTAAAAAAGTAACATAACCTTTGTAAATAATGTTGTTATTAATTTATGTTGGTATCAACTACTCAATTGTTATAACCGCGACGACAGCGACGGGTTGCGTCGACACACGTAAGCGAACTGAGCGATATCTTATCAGCGGTTGATTGCGGGACCGGTTGATTCATTGTGAATTAATATTTCGCGGTAAGCAGAACTGAAGACTAGAAATTCCTACTATATATTTATACTGTGCTAGAAATTTAATTCTGATTAGAACTACTTTAGGATATAAGATTTAACAGTGGTAGAGGTAGAAGCTGTTAGTGCAGGTGGCCGCAGGCCCTCCCCCCCCTCCCCCCACCATAACATGGTAGCGGAATTTAAAAAGAAAGGAATACCCCAGGACCAGCACCCCTGGCACTGGAGAATCCCTCACTGAGCATCCACGGTAAGCTACCTCCTACTTCCTGAGCGTGGGTGCTCAGGCTGCCCCACGTATTCTTGGGGCAAAATCCCGCTCTATACTAACACTGCACGGGGCAAACAGAGCGATAAAAACAGGGCGACCCCTGCCACGCTATCCGTGGACTTCTGCAACATCAGGGGACTTCACTCGAACCTTAAGCCGTCCACTACCATCTAGAGACGACGGAGCCGGCCTTGCTCTTTTTGACCGAGACGCAGGTGTCCTCTCCGGCTGATACTTCGTACTTGTCCTACCCGGGGTACGAATTAGAACACTTCGTTGTGCCTCGGGCTGGAGTTTGCGTATACGTCAGAGAGGATATCTATTCTCGATGCCTCGGCAGTCTTGAAGGTACGGATCTGTCCATCCTATGGCTTCGCATAGACAGCGACGACCATCCTCGCGTCTACGGGTGCCTGTATAGGTCCCATAGCGGTAATGCAGACACAGACCGACTCATCGACCACGTCCAAATGGCTACAGATTTCTTGCTACAACAGATCTCATCCGTAGAGATCGTGATACTTGACGATTTTAACGCCCACCACGCCGAATGGCTCGGTTCACGTTTAACCGATCATGCAGGGAGATCTGTTTATGAATTTGCCTTGGCATATGGTCTGACACAGCTGGTTACTTCGTCTACGCGGATTCCAGATGTGGAGGATCATATACCTTCCCTGTTGGACTTTCTGCTGACCTGTCATCCGAACGGATATCAGGTTTCCGTCGATGCCCCTCACGGCTTTTCGGACCATTGTCTGATCCAGAGTGTGGTGCCACTCACGCTCCCCTCACGGTTGCGTACTGCAGGTTGCCGTCGTGTTTAGCATTACAGGTCGGCGAATTGAGACGGAATGCGGTCTTTCTTAGCATCCTACCCATGGGGGCGGGTTTGCTTCTCGCCGGATGATCCCAGCGCTGTTGCTGAGTCTGTCCCTGATGTGGTGCTACAGGGAATCAAACTATTTATTCCATCATCTGTGGTACCCATCGGTGGCAGATCTCAGCCTAGGTTTGGTCGCTCCTGTAAGACTGCATTACGCAGTAAGCAGGAATGTTATCAGGCCTGGGCTGAGGCTTCAGCGGCTCGGGATGTAAATACCAGCATGAAGAGCAGAAGTATAACTTCGCCTCCAGGTCCCTCAAAAGAGTTATTGCCAAGGCTTTGAGACTGACCGGCTGACTTTCAGAGCACATAGGCAGAATTGGCGAGAAACTATCTCGCCTTCCCTCGGGAACCCGTGCATTCTGGTCTCTCGCCAAGGCTGTCCAGGCAAATTTCTGTAAGCCATCATTACCATCTCTGCACAGGGAGGATGACTCACTAGCCCACGCCGCAAAAGAGAAAGCCGACCTTTTAGGCTCCCTTTTTGCGTCCAACTCAACTCTTGATAATAGGGGAACACACCCCGCACACACACAACCCGCAGTATGAGTGCTCTATGCCTGATGTGCGAATCACACAGTGCTCAGTACGCAGAGCACTCCTCTCCCTGGACATCCACAAGTCGAGTGGGCCTGATGGAATCCCGCCAATTGTGCTGAGGACGTGCGCTCCAGAGTTGGCACCGGTTCCAGCGCATCTTTTTCGGTACTCCTACTCCCTAGGCGTTCTCGAATTCATGGAAGACAGCTTTCCAGATTGGTTACCTTTTTTAGGAAAAAGGTAACCAATCTGATTCGTCCAATTACAGGCCATCACCTCCTTCTTCTCGAAAATAATGGAGTCCATTATTAACTGCCAGCTCATGCGGTACCTTGAGGAGCACCAGCTGATTAGTGACTGCCAGTACGGTTTCCGTCGGGGTCGCTCAGCTGTTGATCTTCTTGTTTACCTAACACTTAGATGGGCGAAGGCGATCGAGTCCAAGGGGGAAGGATTGGCCGTTAGTTTGGACATAGCGAAGGCCTTCGATCGAGTCTGGCACAAAGCGCTTCTTTCAAAGCTTCCTTCCTATGGGATTCCCGAGAAATTGTGCATTTGGATTACCAGTTTTCTGGCTGATTGGAGCGCCAAGGTCGTAGTAGACGGTGCATGCTCCGATTGCAAGCGTATTAACGCTGGTGTTATCATCAACGCTGTTTCTTCTGTAGATCAATGATATGTTGCAAACCGATAATACACATTACTATGCAGATGACAGCACTGGTGATGCTCTATACACCGGTCGTGCCAGTATTTCTAGGGAAAACGTCGCCGAGTACCGGAACAAACTTGTGTCTGAAGTCGAGACTTTGTTGAACAAAGTCTCGGATTGGGGGTGACTAAATCTAGTCCAGTTAAATCCCCAGAAGACGCAAGTTTGCGCGTTTACCGCTAAAAGGAACCCATTTGTCGTATCTCCTTAGTTTCAAGGCACTCCCCTTCTTGCCTCAGCCAGTATCGGAATCCTCGGCGTCGACATATCGAGTGACGTGCAGTTCCGTGGTCACTTGGAAGAGAAGGCCAAATTGGCCTCTAAAAAGCTTGGCGTGCTCAGCAGAGCGGGACAGTATTTCATGCGGGCACACAGCCTGCAACTTTACAAGGCGCAGGTTCGGCCTCACATGGAATACTGTTCCCATCTCTGGGCAGGGGCTTCCCAGTGCCAGCTCCTTTCACTTGACCGCAACCAGCGCAGAGCGGTTCGAATCGTCGACGACTAATTCCAGCCGCTCAATTTCACCATCGCACATCGCGACAAAACTTGCGATACCATCCATACCACCTGGATGATTGGCGGTCCACCACTGTGCGATTTAGAAGATGTTTTCTTCCTCGCACAACTTCCTTGTGGAATCGATTACCACCAGCGATTTTTCCGGACCGATACGACTTAGGGACCTTCAAGAAAAGAGCCTACTCCTTTTTAATAGGCCGGCAACGCATCTGCAATTCCGCTGGTGTTGCAGTTGTTCATGGGCGGCGGTACTCGCTTACCATCAGGTGAGCCGCATGCTCGTACGCCCCATCTCCTATAAAAAAAAAGATCTGACAAACGGGTTTGCACACCTGCAGATAATAACAATTACTATAATGGCAGTAGAATTTCTGTTTACTTTAAAACACATTTAAAAATTTAATTTAGCAGTAGCACTCTTGTCAAAGTAAAATATTAAAATAATTAGACTAATTCATCTCTTATTTGCCACCAAATACTAACTAAAGTCAGTATGTCAAGGCAAATAATTTAAAATTAAAAATTTTGTACAGCAGACTTCAATATAAGTTATTAAGAATAACTCAAAAACTATTGGTCTGATCTTGATCAAATTCATATGGAACCACACGAGATGTATCAGCTTTCATATAAAAAAAGAATTATCGAAATCGGTTCACCCAGTAAAAAGTTATGAGGTAACACACATAAAAAAATACAGTCGAATTGAGTACCGTCTCCTTTTTGGAAGTCGGCAGAAAAGTGTATATTTTTTGTTTTGTATATGAGATATCACTGTTTTATATATTAATGTGTATGTGAAAGTAAAATACACTTTGCTTAATTTAAGTTTTAATGAATAACGGTCCAAACTCGACCACTAATTATTAACATACCGACAATCAATCAACTTTAAAATTACTAAGAAACAGGTAGAATTACATCCGAAAAACAGCCTTTTTACAAAGGCATTAGAGTAAAAAATAAAATCACCCTACCTCTCCTCGTAAATCGTCGAGCTGGTCAGATTGAACGCGTCATCCGCCATACTATCGTCGACCATGTTCCCGTACGTCCTGTCAGTTGGCTTGTCAACGTCATTAGCCACGTTGGAGTTGTTAAACTCGCCCGACACCAGGTAGGTGTCGCTGTCGACCGACTTGGCCTGCTCCATCCTGTTCTTCTGATCCCAAAGCTTCTTCGTTTCGTCTTGCGCTCGCCGCTTCAGCTCTGATATCTTCTCGCGTTCGTTCTCTATCACTTGGCATCCTGGGAAAAGGAGCGATATTAGCTACTAGATCAAATTGTTACCTAGAGGCACGGAAATGTCGAATATCACGGACTGGAATGCGTCGCTAGAGAGATATTAGCTTTGGGATGTCTAACCGGCTTGTCTATCGTGGTGGAATACGGCAACTTTCTTTTAACAAGCCAATTCTTGACCACTATCCTACGTAATGGTGTGCTATGAGCGTGCACCTGTGTTTGCGCATACACTCGCGCAATATAATCCTGTCCTGCGCATCGGAATTTGGTCTAGACGACATTATTTCGTAACTAATTTGGAGCTTAATTTTCTGTTCAAATACTTTGTGTATTGTGTATGCTTACATTAATTCGTTTGGAGAAGATATCATTTCTTCTGGATTTATTATACGAGACGTAAAAGTTTACTAACGAACGAACGTACAGGCATCTACACAGTGACAGACATCCTTTTAAAAACAGTAGTCAGGTTGTATAAGTTAAAATATAGACTCAAATATTCAACTCAATCATAAAAGACTCAATAATAAATCAAAATTTTCAAAGACATTGTTTATTGTATGCTCACAGATTTACTTAAAACATACTAGTTAACATACTAGTTGAGTTATCCTTACAATATCTTATAAAAAGCGGGGGTCATGATTGTCTGATTTTTGTGAATTACAATAACTCTCACGATAAAGAAGTTTAATAATTATACAAAAAAAAAAAACTCCCGAAAGTATCGGCTGTCCCAAATTAAAACACAATAACGGGCTGTCAATTTTTTTTTTACAGAAGAGCGCAAAATCTTATTTTAAAGAACTGTTAAAGAAAATATTGAATATGTATATAAAGTGCAGATATGAACTTGTAATAACGTCCCGTGGTTGCGCAAACACACACAAAAAAATTCATAAAAATCGGCCCTAGCCATTTAAGAGTTCAAAGACAAACACACGTACAATATATATATAAAGACTAGCTGTCTCGGTAGTTTCTTCTGCCCTTTCCGGTAGATGGTGCGACGAGTTTTATTCCGAATTTTTACTGAGCCACCTATCGAATCTAATTTTTGTAAGTTTCTTTTTTGGCCGTATACCAACATAGTATGCCCCGCAGAAGGAAATGTACCTGAGATGTTTATTTCTTTGCTATTTATTATGCTGGGTCCACACTGACGAGAAATGCAGTTAATTATCGCGTTGAAAGACGTTGAATGTAGGTGTGGCCACGACGTAACGCGTTAATTTGACAACGGCATTAACAATGCCGTTTGCCATTTGGCGATAACTCGAGTGGCGGTACATCAAAGAGATTAACGCACGAAATAACGCGTTGAAGCGGCCACACTACGTTTGTCTCATTGTGCACAGTGAGCTCAACGGGGTCGCACATATGGCTAATATGGAGTGGAATAATGAAACAGTTGTCACGTTTCTTGAGATTCTGCAAACAGAGCCATGTTTATGGAATCCGAGACTCAAAAGTCTTTTTTAGTTATACTATAAAAATTTAATCTTGCTTGAAATTCAAGGAACATTAACGCCAACTTTAACACCGTTCAATGGCATTGAAATTGAAATGACGTTGACCGTTCAAGTGTAGCCACTTACTTTATCGCTTTAAAATTAAGGCAATAATTGTTGCGTTTATGGGCATTGACGTTTCCCGTTACTGTGGCCCCAGCATTACTGCACGTTCGGAGATTTTATTATGACTGTTTAAGCTACGTCGATCTCACCTGCCGACAATGAAATGGTTACAACGCAACTTTAAATGCCAATATATCACGAGATCATTGAACGAACACATCATGGCTTCCCCATGTCTAACAAATTAAAAAATATATCCATGCTACATAACGCTCAAGAAAATACGTCTGTGCTCAATGGTAGGAAAAATATAGGCCTTTTTTGATGTTTTTAATAATATAAAGTTAAATATGTTTATTCACAATTGACTTTTATACATTACTTTTTAATAATGATAATGATTTATTTTCTTGAAATATGGTAGAAAAACAGATGTAAATTAAAAGTAAGTCTGTTGAAGACTTTACTGCGGGAGACCTTGTGAAAAGAGTACATACCTTGTTCTTCCAACATCTCAATACGTTTCCTCTCGATCTCCATCAGGCTGTCCAGGGTCCTCTTCCCTAGCGAGTTCATGTCAGTGTCGCTCGACAGAATCGGTGCGTCGATAGTCACCTTCGAAATCCTATCTATGTCGTCTTGCGACGGGATTTTCGCAGAGTCCACCATTTTTTGGAATTCCAATGAATTTTTGTTTGGTTCATCGCCGCAGCTCTTCCTGTGCAGATTCTTCGATATTGCAGTATCGGGGGCTTTGTTTGTTCGAGTCGTGTCAAAACTGACGTGCACCGACGTCGCTAAATCATTCTTGATATCATCTACCGTCTCTTCCTTTATATCATCTTTAACTTTATCCGGAGATTGAGATTTCGCTTTGACGTATTTGTTGTCACTTGTGACAGGTCTGACATTTTTCACGTAACGGTTTTTGACGTTCTCTTTCTCAGTATCTTCCTTCTTGATGCTGTTCTCGCGCGATTTTCTACCGAAGGAGTCCTTCTTCATAATTTTACCCAAGGCTGCGAAAGTCGGGATTTTGGACGACGAGTTACTCTTCACTGGACCGTTCTCTTTCTTGTCCCGCTTCTTGGAATGTCTCAGGCTGTTGAATTTGTCTAAAGAAACGTCCACTTCGATGTTTTCATTATTATAAAACATGTTCTCGTTTAGGCTTTGCGACATGATATCGACTTTCTCCGGTGACTTCTGTTTCTTGTCCTTGCTTTTTCGTTTTAGTGAATCGAAATTCCTCTCCCAAAATCCTTTCTTCTCTTTAGAAGAAGTAGAAGACTTAGACGGGCTTTCGCTCAGGCAATTGTCGTTTTCGTTAGTAGCCGCCACTTCACCGACCCTCCGTTCGATATCAACGATCATGGATTGGGACATTTGGTCTATTGAGTTGAATTTATCTTTGATCTGTTTCGCGTGATCTTCGAAGCTGACCATTTTAAGATCTATGTCATCACTGTCTGAACTTTGCGGGGAATAACCGAATTCTCCAGACTTCGCTCTTGTCTGGTCTGTGTAGAACGCGCTGTCCGGCGACTGGGTTCTTTCGGCGTCGTTCAATTTGTTGGCAATTGGTTTCAGCTCCTTTTCGATGTTTTGTACTTTTCCCGTTAGGACTTCAACTTGGTTCAGTAATCTGACGTATTCCGCTTGGAGTACTTTCGTTTCGTCCAACGCTGAGGTCAAGTTGTTGTTGGCTTCAGACTTCAGGTTTAGTATTCTGCTCTTCTGTGCTTCTATCTTCTTCGTTAGGTTGATGATCTCGTTTTGTATGTCTTCTCTGTTTGCCAATCTGCAACAACGTTTTTAGGAGCCTGTTAGTTATTTCGCAGGTATAATTTTTTTTTGCTAACATTCACACTTATAAATATTATTATAATTTTTAAGTTGAACAATAAAGCGTGCGATAAGTTCTTACCCACATTCGGTTTTTTTTTAAATTTTAAAACAAACGAAAACTATTTAAAAAGAAATCAAATTTGGAAAACAATTTCCTAGCATTTTCTATTAAAATACGTGAAATTAACGTAATTGTAATAATTTTTACAGCGATAATTAAGAACAACAATTTTAAAATAATTATTCAGAAAAAAAAATCAATAACATTAAATGTAAAGTGATAAATGATACATTTGTAAATCAAGCCACTTACAACTCAGACTCCTCTTCCAAATGCTGGAACTCTAAGTCCTCGAAAATCTTGGTCTCATTATCCAAAATATCCTGCGCGTTCTGAAGTTCTTCCAGCGTGGCTGCGTTATCCTTGAGATCTTTTTCTAACCTGTAGAAGAAATAAAAATAATATCATAAAATTTAAAAACAAAAATTACGTATAAAGGAACAGAATAAAATGCCGAATTATGTAGTATAAAAAATGACTACTTGACTAAATTCATTTAATGTTTTCTTGCCGCTGGTTAGATGTCATTATTATTATTAAACTACAATTCAGTATAAAATATATGTTATTACAAATACAGAACAAAATCAAAATCATTAAAAAACTAAAACAAGATTTAAAAAATCAACCTTTTCACTTTCGTGGTTGCGATCTCGACTCTATCTCTCATCTCGTTCTGACGTATCTCTTGTTTCTCTTTCATTTGCTTGATCTCTTCCTCTATCCTCCGCGCGCTTTCTGTCAACTCAGCCTTCTTCCTCTGCTCTATATTCAGTATTGCTATCTCCGAGTCGTATTCTCCTTTGATAAGAGCCTTCTCCATCTCCAACTGAGCGACAATATATATAGAATTAAAACGAATGCACTCCAAAATATTAATAAAACAACAAAATGTGGGCCCTACACGTAGCAACGAACAACGACTTAGTGTTGTTTTATTTTAAGTTGCTATAATATGCCGGACGAATACTTTGCAATAATGCCTGTTTTACATATGTTCCGAATTTAATAAATCTGATAGTATGAAGAATGAAACTTTTTTCTTTCTTAATTTTTTGAATATAGGAACTTTCCAAATGGTAAGTCTACTACAGCAGGCATTTATTTATCTAATAGAGTCTGAGCAAGGTATTTGTACACTGCATTAAATAATAGAACCTCTTTTTATTATGGCTTTGTTTGCTAGTACAAAGCAATAATTTACACTAGCAATGCATAACAAAAAAAACATCATTCCGGTACAAGTCGCGGCACGTAAGTCTAGCGCTGAACGAAACGTGGAGAGGACGCGCACGAATTGAATTGCACGAATGCGACTGGAGAGCCAATCAGCCCGTGCGAACGATACTCACGAGCCAAACAGCGCAACTTATGTGCAATAACGGCCACTGCTAGACTTTCGTGCCGCTACTTATAATATGTGGCAATGTAAGAATATCTATTAACCCATATCGTCCCTGGGTGTCATAAAAAGCGACACAGGGAAACTGAATACAAATTAAAAATTATAAAAAACTGCAGTAGCCAACCCACCTGCCAAACGTGTCAGCAATGGCGTATTCCCCTTATAAGGCCCTATGTGGAAGGCCTATGCTCAGCAGTGGACTTTTACAGGCTGTAATGGATAGATGGAGTTCCTACGTGAAACTTCACAGCTGAAAGTTCTCTTCATTCTATTGTTTACAGTCTTCTTTTTTAACTAAATTGATGAGACATGATATTCGATATTGACTAAAATGATTGATTAATAAATTATTTTGAACCACTATTAACAATTATTATTATTATGTGAAACATCGCATTTGTAAATTGCAGACATCATCACTTCTTGAAAAAACAAAAAGAAAAGAAGAGAATAAATAAAAATAAAACTATATCTTACCTCTCGTAAAATGTCGTCTTCTTGGGACCGAATCTCGGACATTTTACATTTTATTTCATGTATTTGTGCGACCAACTTCTTCCTCTCTTCTTTCAAGCTCTCATATTTAGATTTCAAATCGTCAACGTTATCGTCTAACACAGCACTGTCAATGGAACTTGCTTCTATATCCATCTTCTTCATATCTTCTGTTATGTGTCTAATGATATTTTGTCTTTTGTTCTGCTTTAAGTCTTTTTCGAATTCTTCTAATTCGGGAATGTCTGCCATCAATTCTTTTTTGACGTCGTCGAAACTCAGATTTTTCGATAGCACTTTTTCAACGTGCACTTCCACTTCCACTGCAGTGAAATCTTTTGGTTCTTCTTTCTGCTGATTAGATTTATCTTCTTGTTCTTTTTGTTTGTCGGTAAAATCTCTAGAATATCTGAATTCTAAATCGTTTGTCAAATCAGCATCATCTATCATAGGGATTTCTTCTTCTAGACTTAATTGCTTCTCTATACCTACACATTTTGGATCTTTTGTGTTATTTTCATCTACTACAGCATTATCCCGAGGACTACGAGCGACTTCTTGACTAAAATCAGGTTGTTTATTGTTGTCCTTGGGTGGTGGTGTGGGAAATATGAAATACTGAGGCGAAGTGAGATTCTTATGCGCGAGACTAGTCTTTATTCTCGTTCTAGGACTTTGCGTGTTAGGTGATTTTGGCTTGAAGTTGCCGTAGGCGTTGTTTTTGTAGTAGACGTTCTCGTAAGGACTGCCTATTGGCGAAGCTGACAGATGCACCCTGTCGCCATTCTTCCTTAATAAGATAGGACTAGACATTTCGCTCATCTCGTCATCGAACACGGGTATACCTATTTCATCCATGCGTCCAACGTTTTCATAGTTTTGGCCTATGGTCACTTCTGGCGTTAGCTGTTCGATCTGAGTTGGCGATTGGGGGAGATCATAATTTTCATAGCTGGATAAATTCCTTTTCAAAGAATTAATTGGAGTACTTCGGCTGTGACTAGTATCGAATCTGAAAATTGGTGATAACATTAGTTTTACTTCATAGAATCCGGTAATAATTAGGCAGAAAATTATAGGACCTCATTTTTCTTGTGAACCACCTACGGCTTGTTAATATCGTGTAGTAGCGGTATAATAGAATCAACTACCGCATATCATAATCCTGTGGGTGTCATAAGAGGTAACAAAGGGAAATTAAACAGGATATGGGTAGCGTCATCTTCCTAATAACAACCCAGTAATAATAACTAAATTGCTAAACGTGGAAAGTATGGCAAATATACCCCCTGATAAGCAACCTATGGAGGAGGCCTAGTCATGAAATGAAGGCGTAAGAGAACATTTTATCCGCCCTTTGTATTCTTTTGTAATAGTGAATTCAATAAAGAATAAATAAATAAAATTCGTAAGATCGGCTCGACCGGGGAAGGACCACGCTCTCACAAAATACCAGCGTAAAATAGCAGCTTAATGCTGCTGTGTTTCGTATGGTGAGTGTAGAGAGCCGGTGACCCTTTTCACTGGAAAAGAGGCATTCTATCTTAGTTCTCACGACTGACAACGTATCTGCATTTTAATTCGCAAACGAAGATAAATGTACATGTCTATGGGCCACAGCAACCACTTACCATCAGATGTACTGTGTGCTCGTTTGTCACCCTTATTCTATTCTATAAATAAAAATCTATGAGAAAAACCATAAAAATCATGTGACTTTATATAGATGGCGGTATCCGGTCCATAACAGATGTAAAACACACACTGTTAGTACAATTGTAGTTCTGCCTGCCAAGCATGCCTCTTCTATGCTTATGAACAACAGTAGACTATTACTGGTTGATAAGGAAGATGATGACGATGCTATTATAATCACCTGGTAAATTTTGACGAAGGCCACAATTTTCAAAGTCAAAGTCAAGAAATATAAACCTAAAAGCGTCTTACAGCTGCCCTAAACTTGCTTCCCATTATTGAGTAACTTTACAACGATATAATATAGTTGTTGGGAGCACTAAGCTCGAAGTTGTTGACCACTATATATACATGGGACAAAAAGTCCGACTAGGTAAGTCTACACATCGTCTCGTCATGTATACCTCAAAACTTGAAACAAGATTGTACAACCAGTGAGTGTTGCCAGTGAATGATCCTTATGGATCTGAGACGTGGTCCTAAATGCTGACTGTATGAGGAACCTCAAGATCGCTCAGCGAGGTATAGACGGGGCTATGCTCGGGGTTTCTTTGCGCAGTAGAACCAGAGTAACTAACATAGCCCATCGGGTTAGTAAGCAGAAGTGGCAATGGTCCGGCCATATAGCTAAAAGAACCGACAACCCATGGAAAAGAAAGGTTCTCGAGTGGCAACCTCGTACCGGTAGGCAAAGTGTGGAGCGGCCCTCCAGTAGATGGATGCAGGTGACTCAGAACTGTATTTGTGGCATTCCTTGGGGAGGCCTATGTTCAGCAGTACTTGTGAAGGACTGTAATGATGATGATGATGATGATGATGACAACCATATAAACTAAAAAAGTTCAAGAAATAACTTACTTATAGTATCCTTCACTGGTTTGTATGATGTTTGGATTGTTGTGAGCTACGCTACGGGGAAGAGATCCGTTCGTGATTATCTTATTGTGTGACCTCTTCTCCGTAGGAGTTATAGGATTACCTGAAATGCATACCAGTCGAATAAAAATCTAATGAATATAAAATTAAAAACATAAGGAGAAATTCGAACATTCATGACTATGAACAAGTTCGAATTGGTCGATCTATGTAAAGGCACAGGCCTCTATTTCTCTTCTGGTGGTGGTGTGTAGAGCTACGATACCGCTGCATATGAATAAAAGAAAGAAAGAAAGAAAAGAATCACATTTATTCCTGGTTCGGCACCATATAATAAGTGCGCCGAATAATTTACAAAAAGAGTACAATATAAAAAAAAAAAACAAGAAAATTAAACTTAACAAGAATAACTAGGTTGCTTCCATCTAAGTCCTCAAGGGTAACAAAGCATCTGTCGCCTTCTTTGTTTGTTTTTTTTTTAAATAGATGTACGGAAACAAGCATATGAGTAGAGTTTTAGGTGTTAATGGGCAGGAGCCATTTGTGTAACCACTGCATGTTCCTTGCAATTGATAAAAAATATATATATTTAGTTACCAGTGGCAATTTGCCGTTCATACTCCGCGCACATGTTGAGGATCTCCTCTAATCGCGCCGTTTCGGCTTCCTTCTGCTGCTCTTCCTTTATTCTATCCTGGTAAGCCTGAAATAGAAGTACAAAGTGGTAAATCAGTAGCCCATTAATCCCATCGCTGGGCATAGGCCTCCTGTTATTCTGAAAAAAAAAAAGGTAATATAGATATTAATAAATGGTCCTTCATTTCCAATGTGGATTGACTCGTACATGTTCTCTATTTTTTTATACAAGTAAGGGTGACAAACGAGCACAAAATCCACGTGATAATAAAGTTGCTGTGGCTCAATTAAAAACTATTCTCGATTAAAAACCAAAATATTGGAAAACCCAAAAGTGCACGCCTTATGAGCGTTTCATTTAATTTTGATGAAAAACATAAAAGTAATGATGATAATTTTTACATGAAAAAAAAAGTAGAGAATCTGATCGACTTTTATTGATAACTATAAACAACACAATTGTTCAATAACAAAAATGAATAGGGATCCTCTTTAGAATATATGGAATCTTATTTAATATTATATAATCTCAATTTATTGCATACATTCCTATTAAGCGAGAAGACTCACCGACGCACAGACCAACGGACGGCAGTCCATATATATTTGCAATTACATTTTTTGTTATGTAATCTAAAGTGAATCAATTAGAAAATAACCTAATCTTATAATTCAATGTCTGTAGTTATTGTAACGTTAATAATAATATGGATTCGATGTGTAGCTAAAAGTATAAGAACGATTTTAAGTAGCGAAATTGAGGTATGGCCACATATCGAGAGTAGAGCACTCCCTCATGTTGTGAGGCGTGCAATACTACTGATATAGTACATACATAATACATAAACACTCACGCCTATCACCCAGAGGAGTAGGCAGAGACTATGGACTTCCATTTGGCACGATCCTGACACACCTCTCTCGCCTCGATCGTCGGTTAAGGGTACTCCTAATCTGGCCCATTTTCAATATATCGCCAATTTGGTCGATAAACTTTCGCTTAGGGCATCCCTTCCCGACTCTACCGTTCACCTCTGCAACATAAATTTGCTTTGTCACTCCTTCCTCATTCATTCTTTCTACATGACCAAACCACTGAAGCATTCCCTTCTTAATCTTAGTCACAACACCATCTTGCAAACCACACTCTTCTCTTATCACAAAATTTCTCACTCTGTATAGTATACTGATATGGTAAATAAGAATATCCATTACCTCATAACGTCCCGTGAGTGACGTTAAAGGCGACAGAGGATAACAAAAGATGGGGAGCAGCGTCTTCCTGGTTACGAACTTAATAATATAATAAAGAAACTGCGGTTGCAAACCCGCCTGCCAAGAGTGACACCTGCCGCAGTTTTTTTATTAATTTTGAGTAGTTATCAGAAAGATGCCACTTTCTGTTTCAGTTTCCCTCTGGCGCGTCACACGGCACCCACAGGACGATATGGGGTGGTTAATATAATAATAATAAATCTTTATTTCGGATAACAAATGAGATCCATATCAGAGATATTAGAAAAATCACAAAATATTAATAATAATACAGCTAGGTACACGGAGGAAGTAAAATGACACGCACGTACCCACACACGTACACAAGCACACACACACATACTTGCACCACCATTACAGTGCAAAGTTCTTCACGACCCCCTAACTCACCGTTGGACACATCGTAAATTAGTACTTGTTGCGATTACCGCCTCCAATAGTGCAGTTGATCAAACAACACAGCTCCACGGTTCACTTATTAATTAACACTATTGATTAGGTACATACGAAAAAAAATAACCTCAATATTTCCTCCCTGACCTCGATATTCAGTAAAATATGGAATAAGTAGAACCTTTGTACGAACTCACTGTATGACTGGTTCCGTATTTTGTTGTGTGTGCATAAATAAATTTAAAAAAAAAAATAACCCTCTTGTGTGAAGAAATTAGGTTAAAATGAAAACGTATTCTTAACTTTATCAACAAACGTCTACGCATTGATATCGAATGCCGATTATAGTGATTAATTTTTAGGGCATCGCATTTTGATTTATGAAATATGCGTGACTCAAGTACTAAATCTGTAATCAAGGGTTTTTTTATAGGATAAGGGTAACACACGAGCACACAGTCTACCTGATGGTAAGTGGTTACTGTGGCCCAAACACATCTATATTTATCTTCGATTACGAATCAAAGCGCAGATGCGTAGTCAGCCGTAAGGACTAAAATGGAATGTCTCGTTTCCAGTAACAAGTGTCTCCGGTTCTCTACACTCACCATACGAAACACATCAGTGTTAAGCTGCTATTTTACGCTGGTATTTTGTGAGAGAGTGGTACTTCCCCGGCCGAGCCGACCCATTCGTGTTGCAACTATAACAGCTGTTAGTATTATAGTTGCATCACGAATGGGTCGGCTCGGCCGGGGAAGGACGTATAAAATCCATAATGTTTATCCATAATGAGGGGTATAGTGGCGGTGTAAGAATATCCACTCCTCATGTCGTAAGAGGCGACAGAGGATAACAAGCCGGGGGATGGTCAACAGAATTTTTCTACTAAAAACTAGAAAATAAAAATGCGCTTGCTAACCCGCATGTTAAGCGTGCAAGCAAATATCCTCCTTATGTAACATACTTTGAGGCGGCCATGTTCAGAAGTGGACTTTGAAAGACTATTTTGAAATGGTTTCAAATTAAACCTTTTAGAAACGTCGTGGCGAATCAATCTCCTCACACCTAATACACGCATGTTGAAGGAGTTTCTGTACCAATTTAAATATTTGAAGTAATAGATAAGAAAATAAGATAAAAATGAAACTTGAATAAATAGTGAATTATCAGCTAAACAAATGTTTCCTGTATTCTTTTCTTTCTTGAAAGATCTTTAAAATTCATTTATCAATTTATCTTTGTTTACCTTTTGTCCCACTTGAAGGTAAGTGGTGATACAGACGATGATAGTAAAGCGCACTGGCTTAAGAGACAAAAGCTTATTCGCGCTTAAATTGTTTAAAGGCATTTGTTACTAATCATGAATAGTGCGAGGTTTTGGCATCATCAATTGTTAATCCAGTGGACACTTGCCCGTCACAAACCTTAGCAACATGATGCATCAGCATATTATTGATTTTTTTTTGTGAAAATGCACAACAGACTAGGCTGTACGGTGTAACATCTTTGCCTGCCTTTATTGGCGAATCGTAACAATAACGCGAATAGGGCCTGAGTATACATTAGGCTTCAAGAAGGCTTTTTACTTTCTTTTTTCTTCTTTCCGTACGCGAAGTAAAATTAAGTTAAAGATTTCGGCCTCCTGAATAAATATGTCAAAAGAAAACCTGCTACAATATTTAAGCTTGAAGTATTGATATTGATAGATGTGGCGAATTTTACAAGAAGGCTTGTTTCCTAACTGTCATTCATCATAGTTTCCTAATATTTTTATCGTACAACATTTAAAAATAATAAAGTGAAATAAGGTCGATTTCCCTCAACTTACCATACCACAAAATAGCTTATCAATCTTTCGAATAATATTATTGTAAATCTCATTCCTGATATAAAATTCGTTAAGCTGACTGTATTTCAGATTGTTTCCAACCACAAAAACGTTGCTGTTCTGTATCGGAGCGGAAATTTTCGCATCACTGGCAACACTATTCACTTCCGCTATTTTCTTAATATCCGCTCTTAAATCATCGTACGATTGTTTTATCTGTTTCTCCAATCGAATTATTTTACTGTCTATTGTATTTTCGTGATCTCTAGTCTCTTTAATATAATGATTGGTGAGGATGGTGTTGATGGTTCGATAAATTTTGATATCGTTACGAAGTTTGTGAACTATTTCCAATTTTTCGTTTACAGAGTTCGTCAATTCGAGCATTTTGTCGTTTTCAGTTTGCACTTTGCGCTTTGCGTCCATTGAGAATTTCAACTCCCTCAGCGCTAACGTGTTTTGTTTTAAACTTTTAACAAACACTTTTAAAAGTCGTTTGTGCGAGATTGTTTTTTTGTCTGCTGTCTGGGTTGTTTTTAACATCATTTTGAATGCAAAGTTTTGGGGTTTATAATTTTTTCAAAGTAACAAAGGTTTTTAAGCCCTCTATAGTGTCTTATGTTTTTGCGATCATATTTTTTATTTAAATTTTTTTATATATTATAAATATTTTGTTACGTATAATTTCATTTTTTCAATTCATGTTACATAATTTTATCACTTTCACTAAATGTGGAAACCGAATAGTACTGTATACTTTTTATTTCATCTTAGCGCTTTCTTGTATTTATCTAGCTGTGGCCAGCTTCAAATAATTGTTTCACTTTTTAGGTTTAAATTCGCGGAACAATGTCACTTTTTAATTAATCTCTATCGCGGCAAAGATTCAACAACCTACTGCCACTTGTCGCAATGAAACGCCGCAGTATAATTATTCTTACGTCAATCTTTATCTCGAGATAGCATTGTTTCCTTTATTTCAATTCCAAACTCTTAATTTTATCGCTTATCAGCGTTATTGAAATTTAGATTATTTTGTGATTTGGATAATGAACGATAAATTTAAAGTATTTTGTGGCGGCCTAAAACTTTACGTGGTACCAAATTATAAAACGGTTTTTTAAAAAATAGGAAAAGGACGTAGTTACGTTTCTTGCAGATAGAGAGAGTGAGAGAGAGAGAGAGAGAGAGAGAGAGAGAGAGAGAGCGAGAGAGCGAGAGAGTGAGAGAGTGAGAGAGAGAGAGAGATAATAACAATAATAGTGCGGTCCTCCATATTGAAAGGGGTAGGGTTGTTAACTCTGAGGGCATAGACTTATCTATGCCCAACAACATAAGGACCCTTTCCGAGACTGAAATATACCGATACCTGAGTATGTCAGGTATTGATGAGGCGGACATGAAACAATGAGTTTGCGGTCTGTTTTATGCGCGCTTGACCAAAGTGCTTAACAGCCTTTTGTCTAGCGTGGATAAGACACACGCATAGAACGGTTGGATCATGCCTGTCCTCATGTATACCTTTGGCATACTCGGATGGACTCAAACTGAAATTAACGCCCTAGATAGAAAAGTCCCCACTACCATGACGGCCCATAGAATGCACCATCCGAGATCGTCAGTAATGAGGCTGTACTGGCCGCGGAAGCATGGTAAGCGTGGCTTTTTAAACGCACTCACCATGCATAATCGCGAAGTGTGCAGCCTCCGTAATTATTTTCTGACGAGATCATATGATACATTCTATAAGGACGTGATTTCTTGTGATTTAGGGCTTACTTCTCTATCTTTAGCCAACGAACAACGGAAAAACCCGGCAGTACAGAGCATTTCCGACCGTGAGACCGTATGAAAAGAGAAGCAGCTCCATGGGAGGTTTTACAAGGCTCTACAAGAGCCTTTCGTAGAAACGGTTGCCTTCCTCCATTGGCTACGTTACAATGACCTCTTTGGGAAAACCGAGGGTTTTGTTTGTGCGATACAGTATCAGATTATTAAGACCAACAACTATCGGAGATACATCTTAAAGGTTGACGCCGTCGACATTTGTCAAGCTTGCCGCCATCCCGGTGAGTCACTTGGGCATGTCATCTCCGGTTGTTCGGCTCTTTCCAACTCTGAGTACTGGGACCGGGCCTACATCACAGACAGGACTATTCTTGCGAATAAGCCTGATATTGTGCTGATGGACCTGGCACAGTCAAGGATATTTTTGGTCGACATTACCATTCCGTATGACAAGAACCTCGTCAAAGCCGAAACAGATAAGCGTACAAAATTCTGGACCTGGCTCACGAGGTGGCCGACATGTGTGGTGGTCTGCCGGCCGAAATTATTCCTGTAGTCGTCTCTGCAAACGGGCTAATCCCAGCCAGGCTCTTGGGTCATCTGAGGTAACTGGGACTCCGTGACGGACCGCTCCAAGCTTAAATGCAGAAGGCGGTTCTACTCGATACCGCCCGCATCGGCCGCCGGTTTCTTTCTCTTTCCCCCTAACCCTCGGCCGTTTGGTCTCCCCTGCCGAGGGCTCCCATCTGGTTGGGCCTTTATTTATTTATGTTCAGATCACTGTGGACAGTTAGTATCACTACCTTACATACACAAAAAACAGAAAAATAAGAAAGTTGTGTTTCTTCCAATAAATGAACATCGCTTGGAGAGGTTTAGAAGTAATATAATAAAAAGACTTCCATCACTTTCGTTTAAAAATAGTGCTAATTATTTGTATGCTACATTATTTGAAATTATACGTTGTGAATTTAGTAGAATATTTACTTCTAAAACTTTCTCTTTTAACAGTCGCAAATCATTTAATGAATGGGCGACAGTAGGAATTTATAAAAGTAGGCGAAGGTTATACGAGCTTTATGATGAAAGATCATATAATAGTAGTGTTATATTTAGAGATTATGTAAAAACATATTCTAAAATATTTAAAAAAGTGTGCTCCACTGCTAAGGCTTTACATTTAAGCAACAAAATTAAAACTGCATCCGACAAAATTAAAATGACCTGGAGAATAATAAATAGTGAAACGGGCAAGGTCAAACCGCGCAACTCGGATTTTCAATTGAATATTAACAATAATTTAACGCGATCTGATCAAGAAGTTGCTATGGCTTTTGAGAAACATTTTACTAATGTTCCTTTTTGACAACAAAATCATTAAATTCTTCTCCTACTGTCGCCGAATCATTGCTCAAACAAAATGTAAAGGCTTGTTCAAATACTTTTAAATTCCATAGGGTACTGCCAAAAGATATCGTTAAATATTTTAAAACTATTGATGTTAAGAAAACGGCAGACTTACGGGGGATTTCCGTTAAAGTTATTTTATCTATAATAGATACATTAGCACCTTATCTAGCCACTATATTTAATATAAGCGTCGAATCTGGTGTGTTTCCTGATTTAATGAAACATAGTAAAGTCATACCTATATTTAAATCTGGTAGTATTTTATACAATTTCTGTACTACCAACATTAAGTAAAATTTTTGAAAAACTATTTTAGATCAGATGTTAAGTTTCTTTAATATTAATAAATTGCTACATAATAATCAATTCGGTTTTACAAGGGGTCGCTCGACAACTGACGCTGGAGTTGAGCTTATTAAACATATTTTTTGTGCATGGGAGAATTCAGAGGATGCTTTGGGTATATTTTGTGACCTTTCCAAGGCCTTCGACTGTGTTCACCATGAGACATTAATCAGGAAGCTACAGTACTATGGTGTCAAGAACACAGCGCTTAAACTTATTATTTCATATTTAAGTAATAGAAAACAGAAGGTTATTATCAATGGTAAAAGTTCTTCCGGGTCACCTGTACTAATGGGTGTACCTCAGGGCTCGATTCTCGGCCCATTCCTGTTTCTGGTGTATATTAATGACTTACCTCACCTTGTAGGGGATAGTCATGATATAGTATTATTTGCTGATGATACTTCCTTGATTTTTAAACTTAAACGTCAATCATTTAAATGTGACGAAGTGAATAATGCTATATCAAAATTAGTGCATTGGTTTAACGTTAATAATCTGCATTTGAACGGAAATAAAACTAATTGTGTTAAATTTACAACAACGAATGTTCAAAATCTGAATACCAATGTGTTTTTAAATGGGGAGGAATTGAGCCCTGTTGTATCCACTGTTTTTCTTGGCATCACTCTTGACGCAAAGCTCCAGTGGGGCCCCCATATATCCAAATTAGCAAGCAGACTAAGTTCTGCAGCCTATGCTGTAAAAAAGATTAGAGGTCTCACTAGTGTCGAGACAGCTACATTAGTTTATTTTAGTTATTTTCATAGCATAATGTCTTATGGGATTTTGCTATGGGGAAATGCGGCTGATTCAGAAACTATTTTTGTTTTACAGAAGAGGGCCATTAGAGCTATTTACAATCTAAAACCGAGAGAGTCTCTTAGAGATAAATTTAAAGAAATTAATATATTAACTTTGGCCTCTCAGTATATTTACGAAAATTTAATGTATGTTCGCAAAAACAAAGATAGTTTTAGTAAAAGAAGTGATATACATTCTGTAAACACTAGGAACAATCACAAGCTAGTGATACCAGTTTCTCGACTCCACAGAGTCAGTAATTCATTCTTGGGGCAATGTATACGCTATTACAACAAGGTCCCGGAAAGTGTACACGTTCTCTCTATTACCAAGTTTAAATGTTTTATTAAGCTGAAACTGTATAAAAAGGGTTATTATAGTATAAATGAATACATGGTTGATAATAACCCCTGGAAATGAGGTGATCGCTTCCAAGCAGTTTCTAAAATAAATTTTGTAAATAGTTCGTAATCATTTATATTGTAAAATTTATTTTAAAAAAAAAGTCCCGCTGGGTTTCTTGCTGGTTCTTCCCAGGACAGAGGGTTTTTTTCGAACCAGTGGTAAAGTAAAAAATGACTTTCAATAAGAATTACACATGTAATGTATATTGAATAAAAAATATTCTATTCTATTCTATGTATATTTATCATTTACTCTTATATACTTATTCAGCCCAACCAGATGAGAGTACTTTACAAATACTTCATAATAATAATAATAATAATAATTCGTTAGTTTCATGCGATAAAAAGAATAAGATTTAATAGGCAATATGATAAAAACTATTGAAATAATTAAATATAGCGGGCAAAATTAAACTGAATATGGGCAACAGCATCCTCCTAATAAGAACTCAGTTACATTAAAAAAAACTGCGTTTGCCAAACCGCTCGCCAAGTGTGGCAACTATACCATAAATCCCTATGAGGCAATCTATGGTAGGGACCTATGTTCAGCTGTGGACTTTTGATAGGCAGTAATAAATGAACAGTAATGGTCTAGGCTCAAATTTTGCCTTTATAGAGTTTGAGACGTAGTGATGTTTAAAAAAATTTTGGTTTACAAACTAATAAATATATGTCCGCTCCAGTCTGGATATTTTAAATTTAAAGATTTTTACTGGAAATGAGGTATTCGAGCTTAGTCTTCAGAGGTAACGGCGCTTCTGAATTTTGATTGTTAATCGAGTATAGATGTAGATATCTACGGGCCCCTGGATCCCCTTGCCATCAGGTGGACTGTGTGCTCGTTTGTCACCCTTATATATAAAAAATTAAAGTACAATGTTTAATACAAAAAATGTTAAACCCTAGTTTATTTATTACTAGTGTTGTCTATCAAATTTTCATATATAATATTATAAAAAACATGGGCGTGTCGTGGAACACTCGGTTGGAACGAAGTTCCTTTAGTAGTATATTATTATTTATAAACGTATTATATTATTCATTAACAAATACAAATAAACGAATTACTAACGTCTATTAAAATGAATCGTCATTTAAAATAAAATAATATTTTTTCATGACAAGATAAGAAAAAGTGTAAAATAAAAAAACTATAGAAAGGGGGTCGTGACGGATAAATCTTACACTTTTTCTCACCTAGCCCCCATCCGTTAAATTCGTACCGTGCGATTAGGAACTTCCTTCCAACTTCGTTCCAAAAATCTATAAAAGTCAAAAATATACGTACCTTTTTTCTCATATTTTCTGCCTCTAGGCCCCTATCGTACTGGTAGTTCGCGTACACCGGTGAATACTGCGGATTCCTATCATAAGCTGAAGATGGCAAGCCGATCCCTTTACTCCTTTCATTACCATGCTCTCTAGAAGGTTCTAGAACTTCGCCTCTATGTTCCAAATTACTTTGTTTTACCTCCACATTATTTTTCATTTCGCAATTTGTTTCTTTAATATTTATTCTGCCGTAAACATTCTCCGTTTTCATTTGATCATTGTTAATTTTCTTCGGCAATTTGTTAAATTCATTTCTAGATTCGTCGAAATTTCTAACGATATCGTCTATTTTAGTTTTGTTTCTTACAGCGACGTTAGCGTACGAACAGTTCCTGGCATCGATGCTATTGTTTTCGTTGAGTACGATCATTTTCTGTTCGTGCTTGAATTTGGTCATGTAGTTAGGCATCGCTTTGCCGCCAAGTACGTCCTTGGCTGGAGTGTTCACTGTTAAAGAGTTCGCGCTGAACACTTTTGGCGAGATTTCGTTTTCGTTCGTCGTGTAGAATTGACTTCTGCCGACGCATTTCTGTTGTTTGGCGTAGTATTCGAACTTGGACACTTTCGCCATGATCCCGGACATTTTCGGCCGCGATTCCTGATCGGAGTTTGAGTCGGACTGGTCGAGGTCTCTGTAAGGTTTTTTTGGGGCGACGGGCGGCTTCTTTCTCGACATCTCTCTCAGCGTCATATCTAATTCTTGGTCCAGTTGGGAGAGTGAGGTGTCTTTGTAGATCTTCTGGATGTTTGCGGTTTGGTAACATTGAGTTGTTTCTGTGTTGTGGTTGACGTAGCCTGCGGTTCAAGAACAAAAAGTTTATTTAATCACATATGTACACTTGTCAACAAATCCAAGTCGTTGGCGATCGACTGTCGGATCAATCGTGACGAGGGGCGAGGTATGTTCAGCGTCGTTGTTCTATGTTCTTGTTTATTCATTCATTCATAATACCGAATCAGAGGCATTCTATTTTAGTTCTCAAGGTGACAATGCATCTTTTTTTTATGGGATAGGGTGATAAACGAGCACACAGTCCACCTGATTGGTAAATGGTTGCTGTGGCCCATAGACATCTACATCTATTTTCGTTTGCGAATCAAAATGCAGATGCGTTGTCACCCGTGAGGACTAAGATGGAATGCCTCTTTTCCAGTAAAAAGGGTCTCCGGTTCTCTACATTCACCATACTAAACACAGCAGTATTACCCTGCTATTTTACGCTGGTATTCTGTGCGAGCGTGGTCCTTCCCCGGTTGAGCCGACCTATTCGTGCTACAACTATACTATTAATATAGCTGCAGCATGGCTCTACCACGTTTAAACACATCTACATTTTGATTCCGTGAATAGATGAAGTAGTCTATGGGCCATAGCATCAGGTGGACTATGTGCTCGTTTGGCGTCCTTATCTATACAAAAATACTCTTTTCCTTCTATCCACTGCTAGACATGGACCTGTCCCAGAGTAGGTAGGATTTGTCATAATCGTCACCCACGGCAGATGAATTACCAGTCGCTCTGCCAGCATGGCTCTACCATGAAAAAATATTTTCTTTTTCTAGATTGTTAATAGATTTTTCTAACCCAAATTCAACTTAGCAGTGGCGGTGTAAGAATACCTACATTACCATGGGTGTCGTTAAAGACGGCAGTGGAAAACGACCAAGGTGATGAACAATTCGTTTTCCTGAGAACTATAAAATAGAAAACTGCATTTTCTAAGGGTAACAAACGAACACACAGTCCACCTGATAGTAAGTGGTTGCTGTGGCACATAGATATCTACATCTATCCTTGATTATGAATCAAAACAAACGCAGAAGCGTTGTCACCCGTGAGGGCCAAGATGGAATATCTCGTTCTCAGTAAAAAGGGTGTTTATAAACTCACCAGCTGGCAGACACTGTTCGTTAGGTTGAAACTGTATCGGCGCCATGGACACGTGGCCCGACGGTAACACTGACTTCATTAGCTTCGCTTCTTCTGGATGATTGAAGCGTAGATAGTTGGATCGACCAATTGTTAGCATGCTACCTGGAAAAAGTACGCAGAAGTATTATTTATTTTGTTAAAAGTAGGATATGCATGGTTGTTTAGGCCAAAATTTTACATAACTGCACATTTGGAGGTCGTTGTAATTGGTTCAAAATTTAATATTTTTACATTTAAAAGTTACAGGTTATTACGTCCCACTGTCACACTGCTCCAGTGCGTGATGGCAGACTGCGACATATTTTATTCCATAGACTGCAGAAGTGCACAAAAAAAGAAAGAATGCAGATTTCCGCATTATATTTTTCCTTCACCTCCGAGCACGTGGTAAATCAACAATTTTAATTGTAATTTACAAATTCTTTTTGTGCCGGGAGTAACACTTCTAACTTGAGCAGTCGGTTTAGATGGTAACGATTTCATTGTTGCCAGCGGGTTCCAAGCTCGAGTTTCTCTTGTACCATGAAATTTACGGCAAGTCCTTAGCTTCTATTTGCCACATCTCTATTTACTTTTATAGCATCGAGAATGTTATGAGTTGTCCGATTCTACTGTATTAACAAGGATATCTGTGTTGCACACTCATATCTGTCGCGTCTTTGGCAAAATTCCTGAACGATCTATGTTCAACACTGAATTGTGACTAGTGATGAAGAAGAGTTATTCTTCAAACAATAATTATCAAACCAGTGATGCAGCAAAAAGTATAAAGTGTAAGGGTGCTAAAATTGCAATTCCCAATTCGTTTATGTAAGGTCTCACGTATGGTGATATATTAGATTGTATTTGTAATAAATTTATTCGCGTGCGGGTATGTAAGTTTTTATTAAAAGAAATCGTATTCTTCTTAATCCCCCTTACACTATATTATTGTGATGTAATACAGGTGCAATCACAGATAAATCCACATTTATCTGTGATTGTGAGAGTACACAGGGCTCCTTCCAACGGATCAGTAAACCGAAGTGACAATGGGCCGGCCATATAGTTCGAAATCTTAAGCATCAGATGGTGGCTGGCCTTTCTACGTAAACGGATGCTCCAAGTACAACTTTGGATTGTTTTAATTACGCTTAGAAGCGGCGTGCTTTTTCCCCATTACCCACCACGATTTGGCAGTAGTTAGGTTATAACACAAATGTCTATGCACTTGCACTATCTACTCACCCTGGGACAACCTGGTGGCCTTATCTACCGGCAGCCCGTCCAACAGCGTGCTCCCACTTACGGGGTACAATGTGACCACGCCGTGGGAATTCTCCACGCGGCAATGCACGCTGGCAACACCCGTGCCCACTACGTAGATGTCGCATGTCGGGTCCGAGCCAATTGTTACGCGACCTGTAAGCAATTTTATTTTTGGAATAAAACTAATTTTATAGATTTTATCCCGTTTAATTTTAACTTTTTTAATTCCCGACGTTTCGGGCACTTTACAGCACCGATGCTCATGGGGGTCGGTACTGAGGTGTTTGACATCCTGATGTACGATCATAGTTGACGAAGGTTACTTTCAACGTTGAATCTGGGGGAACGGCAGTGCCCCCGTCAAGTCGAGCAAAAAAGCGGCACACGGCCGTACCATCCTTTTCTCGAAGCAGTTCAGGCCATTTTAGAAACCCTATAACTTCGTTGTGGATAAAACTAGAAGCCTGAATTTTCAGGAACCAAGTAGGCATTGTAAAAACTCGGTATATTTCAAATATCATTAAATTTGAACCAGTGGTTTAAGAATTATAACTAGTCAAAATATATTAATTTTGTCACTCACTGACTGACCGATCATCAAAACTCTAAGGCACTTCTAGCAAACGCACAAGCTTGATATTTGGAATAAAACTAGTGTTTAGTGTATAAATCAAGGAAAAATTAAAATATTTTGTAATTTCGGTCCAGTTTTCTAGATACACCAACTGCATGAATAACTTTGTAATCCTATATAAATATATAGGATTACAAAGTTACACTTGCAGTGAATGAATTAGTGTATCTGTATTTATAGGTATAATATAAATGGAATAATAGATGTAGATAGGTACCTAGATATAATTATGTTCGAAGGTGCTTGTAAGATGTTCAACGGAACGAAAAAGCAAGAATGGGACATGTTTTAATGAAGTTGTAAGAAAATCCCGCAAAGTATTAAGTAGACTAAATTGCCCGAAAATCCATAGTTGGTATTGAAGAAGTAGATTGCATCGGAGAGGAAAAAAAGTAGGACTATCTACAAAAAGAAATGAGATGCCTTCAAAAACATAAATTGTAAAAAAAGCCAAGTCTCGCAACTCAGTTCTCCTACCGAAAATGTTGTGAGATCCATGTAACACCAAGTCGGTTAATTTATTCAGTCTCTACTTAAGTACTTAAGGTCCTTCTGTCTCAAGTTATTATGTAATTAGCTAATCTAACAACCATATCAATATTAAAAATATTTTATGTTTTAAATACATAGATTGACTCGGCAATCGCACTAAGCAATCTAATTTAATATAATATGTATTACTTGTGAAATACACTGTGTTTTCATGCGATGGCCAAGTCAACCTATTTATTTAAAACAAAAGATTTTTAATATTGATATGGTCAGTATAAGATGTTGTTACGTTAGCTAATTACGTAATAACTTGAGACAGAAGGACCCTTAAGTAGGGACTGAATAAATTAACCGACTTGGTATTACATGGATCTCACACCTTTTTACGGTAGAAGAACTGAGTTGCGAGACTTGGTTGTTTTTTACTAGTTATGTTTTTGAAGGCATTATTTTTTTTTATAATTGGTTGGTAATTTAACATATAAGTTAATATAAGTTGGTAATTCGCGTAAATATAGGAAATCATAAATTTTGTTTTTGATTACGACCCATGGTGGCGTACGCCGTACGAGTACCAATCACCCTATTTGATTCTGGGGTAGACATAGAGTCAACGAAGGAAAATATCAACATCTCTTGGACTCCGAGAGGTGTTCAGCAATTACTTTTGCGTTTTATATCATTTTTACATTAGTGACCACATTGTTGAATTAGGCTGCACTCCTGTAATAACAATTGAGAGCTAGTAAATAAGTAAATAAATAAATAAAACTAAAAATACAAATGAATATTTGGGATTGGCATTGGAGAATATTTGGAAAAGTGACAATTTTTGTACAAATCCCATTTTAGTTTAACTGTGCTTCGGCGACCAAAAGATAGTGGAAAATCTATCTAAAACAGTGATAATATCAATACGTCATTGTTTTAAAGGCTGCAACTAAATTGAGCACACTGGTCATAGAGAGTAGCATCACCAATACGAGAGTATTGTCCACGCACTCCTCAACTTGCCCGTGTTATCAGTGTGGGCAAATCTTTAGAGCCTTTTCATTGAAGAGGTAATGAGGCTTACCACCTTAGTACTACGTGGTAGTTTAGTTGTAGTAGTAGTTTACGTAGTAGAGCCATGCTGCAGCTATATTAGTAGTATAGTTGTAGCACGAATGGGTCGGCTCTACCGGGGAAGGACCACGCTCTCACAGAATACCAGCGTAAAATAGCAGCTCAACGCTGCTGTGTTTCGTATAGTGTGTCTGGAGAACTGTAGACCCTTTTTACTGGAAATGAGGCATTTCATCTTAGTCTGACAACGCATCTACATTTTGGTTTGTAATAGAGGATAGATGTAAATATATAGGCCGCAGCAACCACTTACCATCAAGTAGACTGTGTGCTCGTTTGTCACCCTTATCCTATAAAAAAAGTACTCAGATATTCTAAATCGAAGATTAGTGCACCTGCTGGTAAGCGGATGCTGTGGCCCATAGAAATCTACATCTGTCTTCGATGAAGAATCAAAATGGAAACGCGTTGTCACCCCTGAGGACTAAAATGAAATGCCTCGTTTTCAGTAAAAAAATCAACTAATTTCTATTTCCAGACGTTTTTGTTTAATCTATTTTTTAACTTTACCTTGCTTGATCGGATGTAAGGTGACAGCAGTGCTCAAGCGGCCGGTACCGAGGCTCACCAGGTGCGGAGTGTTAGTCGCCACTCTGAAAGAAAGAGAGAACAAGATAAGCTTACTCATTTTATTATCTTAATATTGTTGGTAGTTGTAGTTTTTTTTTTATAGGATAAGGTGACAAACGTGCACACAGTCCACCTGATGGTAAATGGTTGCTGTGGCCCATAGACATCTACATCTATCCTCGTTTGCGAATTAAAAAGCAGATGCGTTGTCGCCCGTGAGGACTAATATGGAATGCCCCTTTTCCAGTAAAAAGGGTCTCCGGTTCTCTACATTCACCATACGAAACACAGTAGTGTTAAGCTCCTATTTAACGCTAGTATTCTGTGAGGGCGTGGTCCTTCCCCGGTCGATCCGACCCATTCATGCTACAACTTTACTACTAATATAGCTGCAGCATGGCTCTACCACTTTTGCGTTTCATGTCATGTTTATATTAGTGACCACATTGTTGAATCAGGCTTCACTCCTGTAATAACAATTGTGAGCTAGTAAATAAGTAAATAAATGAATATAACTAAAAATACAAACAAATAAATAAATATTTTTTTGTTGACCCATGTTTTTAGTTTAACTGAGTTTTGGCGACCAAAAGATAGTGGAAAATCTATCTAAAACAATGATAATTTTATCAATATTTTTTTCAATTTGTGGCTTTTAAAAGAAAGATAGCGAAAATTTATTTGAAAATACAGGATCTAATTCCATTGAATTGTCATCTTCTCAGCGCAGCCTAAAAGTTAGCAAAGAAATAAATCAAGAGAGGATCCACCGCGCTGTACCAAGTCTGGTTGTAGGATACATGGCCTCGATATGTTTTTAGTTTTCAAATATTTTTTTTTTTGTTTTATGTTTTCCTCACTTGGGTAATCATGATTGCAATTAAATCCCGCTCTATAAAAATGCATGACATAGAATATTTTTAGAAAGGCTCATACATCCCGTAAAGTTAATTATTATAACTTTTAACAAAAAGTAAAACCGACGAAAATTGCTAATAAAGAAGTTATTTATTTGCTAACCTTAGGGCTGAATTTTTTTCTCGAAATTTATATTTGACCACCTTTGAAGTATTAACCTATTTAATTTTAATAAAAAAAAAAGAATCATCAAAACTGGTTCACAGTCTGCGAAGATATCGCGTAACATACGTACAAAAAAAACTAGTGTCCGACCGAAACAAGACTTTCAACCGAAACCGAAACTGAAAACGAACCATCGATCTGAGTGTCAGTTTCCGAAACTTATCTAGACATTTTAATTTTTTTTGTATACTGAAATGTAGTATATTTTTGCACATATGTATACAGATAAGTAATTCATGTTAAAGAAAAACAGTAATCGTAATCATGTAGCAATATATTTATTTATTTTTAAGTTAAAATTCTTTAATTTAACATTAAGAAATACATTTTAGGCAAAATTTTGTCAAAAGTCTACATTTACACATATAAAAATTTACTCGTTAATTGAGTACATATAACTGATATAGGACTACGCTCGGAGTTTCTCTGCGTGATAAATTTAGAACTGAGGATATCCCCAGTAGAACCAGAGTGACCAACATAGCCCAACGGATTAGTAAGCTGAAGTGGCAATGGGTCGGCCATATAGCTCGAAGAACGGGTGATGGGGAAGAAAGGTTCTCGAATGGCAACCTCGTACCGGCAGGCGAAGTGTAGGGCGACCCCCACTAGATGGAGTGATGAAGTGGTAAGACATGCAGGAAGGCGATGGATGCAAGGGGATCAGGACCGGGCTTTGTGGCATTCCTTGTGGGAGGCCTATGTTCAGCAGTGGACTTGTGAATGGCTGTAATGATGATGATGATGATGATAATATATTGTTCAATAAGCTCTTCAGTTAGGCATTAACCCAATATAATCATAGGCGTAGCCAGGATTACATTCAGGGAGGTGCATCTACATCTACACATTATACTATTAACTAATATAAAATATAGAATTATACATGTATATTATGTAGATAAATGTAATGTTAAATTCAAATCTCGCGGGTATTTGATTGAATATATTTCGCTCATCTAAAACGTACTAATCTCTTTAGTCGATGGTTGGCATTATTGCTCGGGGAATCGCCGCTGCAGCGCAGCAAGCCCAGTATTCACAGGGAAAGTGTAGAGGAGGATACTGCATTTATTAACAAGGTGATGAACAAATTTGGACAGCAACCTAGAAGCCTTCACATTTTCTATGTATTTTCTTTCCTGACAAGGGGTGTAAGTGTAAACAACGCCCTTGCACCCTGCTGTCAGCACCCATGAATATAATTATCAGTCTCAACACAGATTACAATACTTTTTATAACAGTTTCATCATTACAGCCTTTCATAAGTCCACTGCTGAACATAGGCCTCCCCCAAGGAATGCCACAAAGCACGGTCCTGAGCCACCTGCATACATCGACTTCCTGCATGTCTTGCTTTGTCATGTCACTAGGTCGTCACTCCATCTCGTGGGGGGTCACCCTACACTTTGCCTACCGGTACGAGGCTGCCACTCAAGACCCTTTCTTCCCCATCGGTTGTCGGTTCTTCGAGCTATATGGCCGTCTTACAACTCTCTGCAATTGGATAGGTTTCGTACTATGGTTCTGTACTCGGATAGCCATCGTAGCTCTACTGTACAAGCACTTCAGCACTTCGATATACCGACAGTCAACTTGGCATCGCTGAAGGGACTGCAGCACCGCCCAAATTTCGACAGAATCAAAGGCTCTCTCATAGTCCACGTACGCCAGACATAGTGGCAAATTGTACTCCTCGGACTTCTGTACAACTTGCCGAAGGGTATGAATGTGGTCTATGGTGCTAAAGCCCTTTCGGAAACCGGCTTGTTCGGGAGGCTGGAAGTCGTCAAGTCTGCGTGCGAGACGATTCGTAATGACTCTCGAAAACAGCAGGTAGACGCGGCTCAGAAGGGAAATCGGTCTGTAGTTCTTCAAGAGAGCATTGTCACCTTTCTTGAAGAACAAGACCACCGCACTTCTGCTCCACGCCTCCGGTGTAATGCCACCACGGAGGACGGAATTAAACAGCCTCTGAAGGACTTCCAGTACCGGTTTTCCACCCGCTTTCAGAAGCTCCGCTGTGATTCCATCCTCGCCTGGAGCCTTGCCGTTTTTAAGATGCTGGAGAGCCATTCTAATCTCGCTCAGACTGACGTCCGGGATATCATCGGAATAATGTCGGATGTGACTCGCTCTTGGATCGTTACTCACACTTGCGTGTGGCTCCAACGATGACGTGTACAGCTGTCCATAGAACCTCTCAATCTCACTCAAAATCTCAGGTGCCCCGGAAACGATGCTGCCACACTCGGTCTTCAGCTTTGACAGTTGGCTCTTTCTGGCAGACAGATCTCTGGCATACTTTGGAGCCTTGGTTCCGCTCGATCGCTTCTTCAATACAAGCTGTATTGAAGTTGCGTAAGTCCCGCCGCATGCATTTGGAGATCTATCTGTTCAGTTGCCTGTATGCTGTCAAATTTGTTAAAGAATGTAACTTCATCTCCCGTCTAACAGCCATGAGATTAAGAGTGTGATCGGAGAGTTTTTGTGTGCTTCTGCGGCGGGTCTTGCAGAACTTAGCTCCGACCGCATGGACAGTTTCCACTAGCTTGTCATTCATATCGTCGACTTCATTGCAGTCATCTAGGCACTGAAAACGGTTTTGTGACTCGAGCTGAAAGGTTTCGGGATTTTGGAACAGAGCAAGAAGGGGACGGAGCGTTGACTTCGTTAGACGAGACCTCTCCAACTTAACGTTTAGATTCAGTGTGCCTCTAACCATTCGGTGATCGCTACCGGTTTTCACTCTCGCGATCACGGAGACATCACTGAACAGTTGTCGTCTGGTCGTCATAATGAAGTCAATCTCATTTTTTGTGGAACCGTCGGGGCTCGACCAGGTCCACTTCCTGTGGGGCCGCTTCTGGAAGAAACGGATTAACGGTGTAACAGTTTAGTAGTACTTTATTAAAAAAATAAGAATCATGTCTTAATGACTTAATCTTGTTAAAAATAAACACTTACAATAAGAGAGAAAATTTTGATTGCTACGTTACAAAGGCTTTAAGACTTATTTATAAGGTTTAATTTAAAGAATTACCTAGTTATCAGTCCCAACAATAGTTGCAATAATTTGTACGACACTTCGTACTTGATTAAAAAAAAATTCTAAAATCAGAGAAACAAACGATATATTATTACTATTTCTAGATTAATAATCAACTAATCAATTTTAGTATTCGTAATTAAAAAGTATGATATTGTATACCGAGAAAAGCAGTTTTTCAACATTTTCACCTACATATCGACGATCTGCGTAAGTTTGTCGAGCGGCACTGAACAGTTGCTCGCTTGGTACACTAGTAGATGGAGCAGAAGATACTTTAAAACCGTTTTCCTCAGAATTGGATATTGACTGCTGTTCCAATAACAATATATATACATATCGGCATTCCGATGCAATAATGGCTCCGACAGATAAGATATTTTTTTGATAATACGTGAACACTGAGTTTCGAGGCCGCCGAAGGTTCGGCAGATTTTTTGCCGAAACCGAATCTTCGGTCGGTCACTAAAAAAAAACCATACACTCGATTTGAGAACCTTCTCATTTTTGAAGTCGGTTAAAAAAGCTAATAATAAAGATAAATAAGATGATGACAATAATTTTGCTCATAAATCGGTCAGCTGGACACTAGTAAAACCTTGTTCACATTAAAAGCCAAGTAAAGTAACAGATACGTTTTTGTTCCGCATTGTTATTTGCGCATTGCGAGATGCTATCGATTTCGTTGTCCCATTTTTCTACCAACTTCAAAAAGGAGACGGTACTCAATTCGACTGTATGTTTTTTATGTGTGTTACCTCATAACTTTTTTCTGGGTGAACCGATTTCGATGATTCTTCTTTTATTTGAAAGCTGGTGCTTCCCATGTGATCCCATATAAATTTGATCAATGTCTGACTAATAGTTTTTGAGCTATTCTTAATAATTTA